ATAGTGTGGTAGATATGTGGGGGCGTGTTAGAACGAGCCGTTTTAGGGGGGCGTGGCAGAGTCTTAACTTTGATAAAGAATATCTCTTTGGTTTTGAGACTTTAGTCTTTGCAACTTCAGGGATCTTATCTATGCACAATCAGCTTGTAACACTCCAAAGAGAAAGGAAAACTTGAAATTGCATCATATGACCCCTTTAAGAACCTCGGAACAGTGAAGCTCAGACAAAGAATATTGACCTTTTGACTGTATATGGCATAAGAATGAATGCTGCAGTGCGAATATTAGGAGTTTTTGTGGATATCAGTTTGTGAAGGTAGAAATGATGGCACAGTCCACTCAAAAATGTGTTGCAAAAATCTAAGAAATTATGCATTTGAACATACATACAGTTTCTTAGAAATGTACAAAATTCGAACTGTTCTTTAGACGCAATAATTCAGCAGTGTAGCTGTGTATGCAATAGAGAGATGAAGTGCATGTTTATACATTTACCTATATGGACTGTCAATTGATTAAAAAGGTAATCAAATGAATTACATTTGACTAATTTGTTTAATCTAAAAGAGTAGGTTGAGGAGTAAAACACTGAATAGACATAAAGCGGCTTTAGATAAATAGTTTCTCATTTCTATATCATTGATCATAAGTCTGACTGTCTAACTCTTCCTCCTCCTTCTCTTTGATGCTTGCGATTAGAGGCTATCAAGTGCTTAAACGCAGCCATTGATATTTACACAGACATGGTAAGATGTTTTTGTAGCAGTCAAAAAAATCATATAATGTTCATCCAGGCTGTTCTATTGCTGTACTGTGTTTCATCATCATGGAGATTTTTAAACAGCACTTCATGTTTTTAGCTGTTTAGAAATCCACCAACTATTGCAGAAACTCCCAAAGAGCACTTTATAACAGACAGTAAGGCATTCCTCCCCCTTTCAAAATCTGGGGGAAAAAAAATGTCATGAGGCCCAGAATCTGTATCCAAAGCACATATATGGAATCAACAAAGCATGTAGATGTTCAGATAGAAAAGCTTGATGGATACTGAATGAGATATTCAACTGACAGTCAGTTTTATAAAGTCTCCTCCGTTCTGTCTTCAGGGAAGATTCACCATCGCAGCCAAGCATCATATCACAATCGCTGAGGTGTACGAATCAGAGCTGGTGGACATTGAGAAGGTACAAAAATGTTCATTCAGTGTAAACTAAAGGTGCATCTTATGCTGAGAACGTAGAGTGCTGTAAGAAAGCTATATATTTTTTGTAGGACATTGAATTATACGTAGTATAAGTATAAAACACAAAACAACTGGATTGGTGCTTCTAATTCAACAAATGTCCATAAGCTGAATTTACAAATGTTTAAAAAGTTTTCCTCATCTCAAAATACATTTTAAGCAATTTGCCGTCTTGCCAACACAAAGGCTTGAAGTGTAAATTAGTACATTTACGTGCGCAAAGTTACACTGATTGCGTTTAATTTTTAAGGTCACGCATTAAATGTTGTTCTCTTCTCAGCAAAAACCCAGTCGAGAAAATAATATAAAATATTATTTAATAATGATAACAAAAATATTAATAATAATAATAAATTTTTATTGATAATAAATTACTATAATGTATTATAAATTGAGGTTACACTCTTAATGGGGTTCTTTTCCCAGCGTGTTCATTAACAGTCTAGAAGAAAAAACAAAAGAGAAAAGAATATATTTTCAGAGAAAATAACATAATATTATGTAATAGTAATAACAATAAAATATTAATAATGACAATAATAAATTATTATTATTGAAAATGAATTATTATAATGCATTATTTATTATTAAAGGGGTCATATGATGCTGCTAAAAAGAACATTATTTTGTGTATTTGGTGTAATGAAATGTGTTTATGCGGTTTAAGGTTCAAAAGCCGTTTTAGGTAGGTGTGGCTGACTCTTAACTTTTATAAAGAATATCTCTTTGGATTTGAGACTTTAGTCTTTGCAACTTTACAGATCTTCTTTATGCACCAAGAGCTTGTACCACTCCAAAGAGAAAGGAAAAATTTAAATCGCATCATATGACCCCTTTAATTAAGGTCACACTTTAAATGGGGTTCTTTTTCCAGTAAGTTCATAAACATTTAAGCAAAAACCCAGTCAATACCTAGATTTTTACTTCAATAATAATTGCAATAAAATGATTTTTTAAAACTTTTTTTAAGATAAATTTTTGGCATTTTTGCCTTTATTACGACAGGACAGTATTTAGACAGAAAGCGAAGTGGAAGAGAGGAAATAATAATTCATTATTATTATTATTATTATTAATAATAATAATAGATCATTAATTAATCTTTAATATTAACAATAAAATTATATTTGATAATACAGTTACTGTAATATTGTTAATGATAAGTTAGTATTATTAATAAATAATACATAATACATTTTTACAAATTTGAACAGCTTTTATAATCTTTCATGAAGTTGTCTTCTGATAGTTATCAGCTATAGTTATTTTTTTGTGAATGTAAACACTAAGTGTTTTACAGAACCAAATTCTGTCACCATTTAAGATGAAGAATTCTGTTTTTGATTGTCCAAAGGCGATTGCACATTATGAACAAGCTGCTGATTATTACAAAGGAGAGGAATCAAACAGGTAAGGTCTTGTTTTTTCCCGTTTAACCACTTTGTTTCTAAGGAGAGGTTTCTAAGATTAATTACAGCATTTTGAATGTTACTTAAGGCTTTGATGTGGTCTGTTTGCTTAATTTACAGCTCTGCAAACAAGTGTCTGCTGAAGGTGGCTTCATACAGTGCCCAGTTAGAGCAGTACCCGAAAGCAATAGAGATTTATGAGCAGGTAAGCCATCTGTCTGTCTCCTGCAGATGCTTACCACATTACTCGCTCACCGGCATTCGCTAAATCACTGGGGAATTCTTGTCTGTGTGAGTAAACAGGTTGGAAGCAACACCATGGACAATCCCCTACTGAAATACAGCGCCAAAGAATACTTCTTCAAAGCTTCCTTGTGCCACTTCATCGTGGATGAGCTCAACGCAAAGGTCAGCTCTCCATCAGGTCATCGTGCACGCATATATATTGAGAACTGCTGCAGATAATATGCACGTCTTTTTTTCCTGTTGTAGCTCGCTGTTGGAAAGTATGAAGAGATGTTTCCAGCCTTCTCAGATTCAAGAGAATGCAAGCTTCTGAAGGTTTGTGATAGAGTTTCCAGCATATAAAAACACATTTTGTAATTGGGGTGGTTTACACTAGTAGGTAAAGTCTGCTTGCATTGAAAGACCTTATTACTTCATTAAATGCGTCTGTGTTGTTTTTTATTATAAATATTTAAATTGAGGCAATTCATTCAGCCACTCAGAATACTATAGTCTGTTACCAATAAAAGTTGATCAACATCAACAAAAGCAATATTTGCATTGCCAAGGTGCCACAGAAGCTGCATTTCACACGGCATGTTAATTTACATCTACACAGCTGCTTAATCCAGCTCAAAGGTGGCATACATGTATTTACATGCATAACTGAGATTATTGTCATTTTAAATAGCCTACATGATATAAGACATTACAAATCCTTTTAGTCTTTTTTTAGCATAAAATCAAGACTTCAACATCGGTTATTGCATGAAAAAAACGAAATGGCTATTCATATCGGGAATGTAATGAATCAGCTCAAAGGGGAAATATGAATAATCAATCATAACTAGTTATGATTAATTATAAATATTTAGATCCACTGTAAGTATTTACTTGACGCATTTTACAGTTAAATGGCCTGCGATTTAAAAATAGCAGTTTTAATGGGTTTCAATGGGGACATTTTTGTCCTTAAGGTCCTGAGAGGAACAATTTTTTGTACCTAGTGCAAAACAGATTTATTAAAGGAAATGGAAGTGAAATAGTAAAATTCCAATAAAAATACACACCTGTGCCAAAATGTATGCAGTTGGCAAATAACACAGGCAAAATGATCAAAAAAACTAAACTGAAAAGGACAAAAATGTCCAAAAGGTCGCACAAGGGTTAAGGAAAATAACTTTCTTATTGTACAATACTACAAAAATCTGCATGATTAGGGACTCCAGTTATGAGCAAACAACGAACAACCTCAAGTGTGATACAAGTAAGACTTTATTAACTACGTAAACACTTGAACTAGTCTAACATACACACACACACACGCATGCAGTTGGCATAGGAAAATGTGTTTTCTCAAGTGGTTATATCTAGAGGGAGATGGATAGAATTGGGATGGACTGTATAGTACAAGGGTACATTTGTCTGTTTCAAAGTGAATTTAGAATGAAAACTACATTCCTTTGAATCTTATCTTGATGTTTGTCTTTGTTACCACGGTAACCAGAGGCCTGGTTCTCCTTACCACATGTTTTGCTTGTTGGGGAGGGGTATTGTCCACTATTTATTAAATATAACAAATACTCACGTGTCTGATCCACCTCAATCATTACAGGAATAAATTATATACAGAAAGCGAGCAAAGAATGTTCCTCATCATTGAAGCGGTCAATGAGAGTGCAGCAAAGACGATGTGTAAAAAGAAATCTTTGATGCAACGTGAGCATATCTAAATGTAATGATGTCAGATACACTCTTTATTCATTTTCATATTTCACTTGAATTGTGAAGGGCAATTCTGTGTCTCTGTTTTTTTAATTTGGGGGGCATTTATGTTCATTTTGATGCCATTTTTGCCTCAAGCCTTCATTAATTTCCGAATCCTGTGACAGGTCATGGGCAACCACCCAAAACACCCTAGCAATTGCATAGTATCATGACAAAAAGCACTCAGAAAATGTAGTTTTTGCACCACCTTCAAAAATTAATATTCATTGTTGTATACTTATAAGAGGTTTTGTTTTTACAGAAACTTCTAGAGGCCCATGAGGAGCAAAACGCTGAGGCTTTCACAGAAGCGGTATGAATTTTACCTTCAGTATCTTTTTGAAAAAAGTTTATCTTTGTTAAAAAGTAAATTTAATTGCAATATTTTAAATGTTAAAGTACTTTATACTTCAATCACTGGCATGAGTCTGGAGCGGGACTGTTGATGTGTTCAAGTCATGTCGAAAAGATGGTATTTACGCATTGAGTGCACATGAATATCCCCACAGTGTTGAAACTATAAGAAGGAAACTCTGAACTTTAGAACATTTGCTAGCTAAGTTAGATGCACAAAATATGATAGTATTGTAGAATTACAATATAAAACGATTCAATTTACAGTACCTTCATAAATTGATAAAAACATAAAAGAGCAAAAACACACCTGATGCGCAGTTCTTTATTCATCATTTTTTAGAAGTTTTTCGCGATTTTTTTTTTGTTGAAAAGGTGCCATCTTTCTCTGACAAGTAACTTGAACACATCTGACGTCAGATTCATAAATACAAACTTCCCAAGAGGACTTGAACACACCATATCTACTCGGCCAGTTTCTTATTTTTGCAGTTCTTTTTGGTGGCGCTAACGATGCAGAAATCTCGTACTGTGTTCATTCAGGTAAAGGAGTTCGACTCCATCTCACGCTTGGACCAGTGGCTCACCACCATGCTTCTGCGGATCAAGAAGACCATTCAGGGGGACGAGGGCGACCTAAAATGATCTGGACAGTGGGGCGATCACCCACTGCATGGCACCCTCCTTCCCCCCCCTTCCATTTCACATCAGTTTTGTGCAATGGCCAAGTCCGGGTTTCCCAAAACAGTATGTCAAAATGCATTGCTGCAACATTTCTAGAGAATATACTTATAAGCCTGTACTGTTACATTGATATCCAGTTATATAATATAGCACATATCAAAAATTTAGCACTCCAGTTCAAAGATCTGCTCCGGTTTCCCTGCTGCATTACGAGGGTATTTCTAGAAACACGGAGTGAACCGATTCAGGAGAGGGAAATTCAAGGATACAATGGGGATTTGAGATAGTCCTCGAGTTCTTTTGCAACGGTCACTGAATTGCGTCGTGCTAGAGCTGCATGAATTGTACAGATTTAATTATTCAGTCAGTGCAGCAGGATCGTGTATTATTATTATTATTTAGATATTGTTTTTATTTGTGCCGTTTTTGTAGTCTGCTCGCACTAGTTGGCATGCAGGCCTCAAAATGCTGCTGTTTAATAACATCAGACATTCATGCAGGGCCGAGAAAATTTCAGTTTCCCACAGTTCACCATTTTGAATTGGTATTTAAATAATTACAAAAATGTCTCGTGTCATACCTGACGGAAGTACGTTTTTATCCACTCTCTGAAATTTAACTCTTAGGTTGTTTTCTTAAATGTATATTTATTTAATTCAATTATTATCTGAACTATTAATATTAGTCATATAATATTACGAGTCTAATAATATTATAATTAGTAAAAAAAATATATTATTAGTCTAATAATATTGTATTAGTAAAAAAAAATAATTTAACATTATATTTTTACACTGTCTATCATCTCCATCAGCACTGAAATTGATGCGTTTGTAAAATCCTTGTATAAGCTTTATTAACATGCTCTATGTGTGTGTCGTGTTGAGAATGCATAGCTCATGTACACTCTTCATTCCAGTGGTCTTTAGCAGCGCATGTCATCTGTGTTATACGTGTCGTGATGTCTGTATTTGACCATATTCTAGAGTTTTTAAGAAGCCATGAAGACGTACAGTACCAAACAATGTACTTTCCCACAGAACAACTGATGTCTTTGCTGAATGTCTGTGAGAATGTACAGAAATAAAAACCAATACTGAAATGGCTACACGATTCAAGCAAGTGAAAATCTGTTATATTGCCTAGTGGTGTTCGCTAAGCATCTCAATTTTGTAATGCTACAAAATAGTGTTACATTTTTGGTGAGCAACTCCAGCAATGTTTGTGCTGCGACATTGACGAAAACTCAAAGAATATGACTAGTTAAACGGGTGGTTGATCAGCTTTTTTCGAAAGCTTGATTGTGTTTATTGGGTGCAGTGTAACGTGTTCATGCTTCGTTTAAAAAAAAAAAAACGCATTATTTTAACATATTTTACCTTTATTCTACACCGCTGTTTCCATTCTCGTCAAAACGGTCTGTTGAGTTCCTGGTTCTATGAAGCCCCTCCCTCAGAAATACGCAATGGGCTCTGATTGGTTAACGGGCTCAGTGTTTGTGATTCGCTAACAGCCTAGTGCACGTTGTTTGGAAACGTTTCACCCCCTTACCATTACGGGTAGTTGCGTGTTCCCGGGGGCGGGGTTTATGTAAACATCGGGGTTAGTGATGTCACAAACCCAGGAAGAAGCTCGTTGTAGTCCCTACCAGCCGTTTTTTGTAGTCCTTAAACAGCGATTTCTTTGAAAATATCTCCCGTTGCATTGAACTCTGAGCGTCGTAACTTTGCAGACGTTGTTTATGCTCTAACAGCAACATTACACTCTAACTAAAGTTCAAAAAGTGAAATCATAATCAACTACCCCTTTAGGAAAAAGTAAACATAAGAAGTGTATGTAAGTAACATTGAAAAAATAATATATATATTAAATGTAAATATATATTAATAATATTATATATTAAAAATCAATTATGTATATAATTATATTTATTTTATATATATCTATCATATAAAAATATAAAATGATATTATTAAAATCAAAATCACTTGTATTTTCTATATTTCAATCCAAAACTAAATCAAAAATGTAAAAAAGAAAAGAAAAAAGGAAGCTGAATTCAATAAACACTTTATTGAATGTTTTTAAGGAGCGCTGTCATGACTGCAAATCATTATACATGTAATAGGGTACTAAAAATGAAGTATTGTGTTAATAATATGCAGTTCACATTGATGTAGTGTTGAACATAATAAATATCAGCAATAAGCATTACTGACAACAAAAAGCAAATGTTTGTTTTTACAAGAATCACTAAAAAAACTATTTAATGACAAGACGTTCCCTGGAAATGGAAATGGAAATCGTATATGTTGTCAAAAACAAACCTGAGCAGAATTGAACATTGTGATTCAAGAATTGTACTAGTTACACACACATTATAGAAGGTTTTATAAAGCAAAAGTGTATTTACAGCTGATAATTTAAAGCAAAGCTTGATTGCGATCATGATTAACGAGTATTTGCAACTGAAGCAGGTAGCATCTACTCTCCTACTGAGATTTCCATGTTGTTTGAAGCCTCTGCAGTCTGTATGCTTTCGCTGACTTCCTGTTGGGTGTCTGCACAGTCCGTTTCTCCCACCGTAACAGCCTGGACCGACACACACTCAGCCGAAGCCAGACCGTTCTCTGTTGCTTCAGCTTCAGTGGTTGCCGGAGCCAGTATGGCGTCTGAAACGTGACCGGCCACGGTGATGGGCACAGAACCGTATATCGAAGGGGACACGCCGATGGAATGCGCGACTGAAATGGGGATGGAAAAGGGAACGGTCACAGGCATCCCGACCGCAGAAGCATCCAGAGAGATCACACTGGTGCCGTCCGTGGTGACTAAGGGCTGCAGTTGCGTGCCTGCGTGAACTTCGGTCTGGATGACCGTGAGGCCGCCCAGGGCCGTCCGATACACACTCATCGACTGCAGCCGAAGTCAGACCGTTCTCTGTTGCTTCAGCTTCTGATGTCGCCGCAGTCATTGCCGGAGCCAGTAAGGTGTCTGAGATGTGACTGGTGATGGTGATGGGCACAGAACCGGATATCGATGGGGACACGCCGATGGAATGCGCGACTGAAATGGGGATGGAAAAGGGAACGGTCACAGGCATCCCGACCGCAGAAGCATCCAGAGAGATCACACTGGTGCCGTCCGTGGTGACTAAGGGCTGCAGTTGCGTGCCTGCGGGAACTTCGGTCTGGATGACCGTGAGGCTGCCCAGGGCCGTGTGGCTGACCAGCGCGATGGTTCCAGGTCCGGCCCAGTCTCCGGAAATGGTCACGGGCTCTCCGGACACAGCCACCACTTCTTGGGTCTTCTGTGCGTTGCTCTCAGGAGCCTGCGCTTCAGAAGCAGCGACAGATGCCTTGTCCTTCTTCTGAGAAGAGCCTTTCGGTTTCTTGGCTCTGTCTTCAACATTTCCCTTCAGAACAACCAGGTAGTTCTTCCATGGAGTTTGTTGGTCATGGGTCTGCGTAGAGAAAAAGACTGGTTATACTAAGTCCCAATGCATACTGCTAAATCCCTACTCGGTTAGCTTGCTTGTTGTCAGCCCAGGCTTATTGTGTGAGTTTGAACTATAAATAACCAATAAAGAGGAACTGGTGCACAGGATGCTTACCTTTGATTTAATGCGTTCTAAAAATGTAATATTGTGACATTATATTATAATTTAAAATAATTATTTTCTATTTGAATATATTTTAAAAAGTAGTTTATTCCTGTGATGCAAAGCTGAATTGTCAGCATCATTACTCCAGTCTTCAGTGTAATATGATCCTTCAGAAATCATTCTAATATGCTGATTTGCTGCTCAAGAAAAAAAACGCTTGTTCTGCTACAAATATTTGAATAGAAAGAACAGCATTTATTTGAAACGGTAATCTTTTGTAACATTATAAACGTCTTTACTGTCACTTTTAATCAATTTAATGCACCCTCGCTGAATAAAAGTATTAATAAAAAAAACTTTTAAATGCAAGTGTGTACATGTAGGAAATTCAGTAACAGGTTTAGTTGGGATTTATTATATGCATACTGGTGGCTGTAAAAATATTTACAGCCCTTTCTGAACTTTTTGCACCATTTATAGATCAATGCATCATTATTTAATGTAATGCAATGAACTTAAAGCCTGTGGGCATGAATATTTTTTATAGCATCCATAAACCCACTTATAAAGCGCATTGCGTTAGCAGCGCAAAAGGTCGTGGGTTAAATTCCCAGGGAACACACATACTGGTAAAAAATGTATAGCCTGAATGCACTGTAAGTCGCTTTGGATAAAACTGTTTGCTAAATGCATAAATTAATTAATTAATTAAATTAATTAATCAATAAAACCGTGCTGTGTAGAGTGGCAGGATCTTTACCAGGGTGTGTCGGCGTACGGTGGATTTGTCAGTAAACGTTCTTCCACACATGCTGCACATGTACGGCTTCTCTCCCGTGTGGATTCTCTGATGTCTCTGCAGGGCATTGAGTTGAGTGAACTGTTTATCACAGTCCTTGCAATGATATGGCCTTTCACCTGTGAAGAAGGCAGCGGTGTCAGCTGATAAGTAAAATAATGATCTTTAAAATAGCATCATATGACCCCTTTAATGATTGTGCATATTCTAAAATATACACAAACCTGCGAACCGTACATCAGTTGTGCATTACTTGATAATTGCCAATCTAGAACTACATTTCTAATGCAGTTATTTATAGCACATTGGTGTCTTTCATCAAATTGCTGTTTTTATATTTTCAATATGCTTTAGTACACGTGGCTTCAAAGACTATTTTTGCACATTTTAAGTGAAATGCATATCAATATTGGATCATTTGTGAAGGATACCTGTGTGTGTTTTCATATGCTGGTGGAGGGAGTTCCTCAGAGCAAACGCTCTTCCGCAGGTTTCACATTTGTAGGGTCTGAATCCTGAATGGATTCTGTTGTGATGTTTCAAGTATTCTTTGGATGCAAAGCTCTTCCCACAGTTCTCACACATGAACGGCTTTTCACCTAGACAGAGAAGAGGAAGTCCTCATATTTTGGCATCATGTTTTTTCTCTTTACGTAACAGGAATCCGTTGGCTCACCTGTGTGGCATCTCTTGTGGTAAGACAGCATGTGGTTCTGGGTAAATCTGGCATCACAGAGGTCACAGGCGAAAGGTTTCTCTCCGGTGTGGATCCTGGATTAAAAACACAAGATAGAATATGTAAATAGTAAATGATGTTCAGTTGGGATGCATAACATATCGGTGACCATTTTGGTATCGGCAATATTTAGCATTTTTTTAAAGTATCAAATATGAATGCACCAATTTTAGTATATGACAATCTTTTTCTGCATTACTATTCTAAACTCTTATATTATTTACATTTATGCATTTAGCACACACTTTTATGCATAAATGTAAATAATATATATATATATACACATATATTCTGCATTTAGCAGACACTTATTCATACATGTAAATAATAAATTAAATGTTATATACTTTACATGTATGTGTTAAGCAGATGCTTTCATTCATAAACATCAATAATATAACTTAATATTACATACCATAAAAACAACTAGATTTTACAATTTTGTGATTGCCCACATTTCTTATATAATATAATATACGCATTTAGCAGACACTTTTATTCATAAATGTAAATATAACATTGAATTAAATGATATTATATTCTATTATTTACATGTACATTTGCATTTAGCTTTTATGCATAAATGTAAAAAAAAAAAATGACATAAAATAATATGATGGCCAATGTTATAATATGGTCGGTTATTGACTATAATATAAAAACGACTGAATTATTTTACATTTTCTGAGGATAATATAATAGAATATACATTTATGCATGTAACAGATTTATATATATATATATATATATATATATATACCTGAAACCTAAAAATTGATTGGTGATTTAAAAAAAAATCCCATTGTTTTTGCCTTTTCATGTCTATTCTTGTCATTTTATTTGTAGAAAAACTGAGTCCTGGTGTCCTCTACAGAGGACATAGCATAACATATAAATAAAATATAATTTTTCAAAAATTTTATTTTACAATTTTTTTCTTATGCTCTAAACAAAGTAATGACATGAAAAAATACTAAATTCACAAAGCTTTTTATTTCTGGTTCTCAGGAGGATATATAAATGTAAATAATATGTTTGCAAATATTATATTATGATCGGTTATTAACCGTTACATAAAAATAACTTTTTCTTTTTTATGTTGATATATATTTTGTGATTACTTGTGCAAAACTCGCTATAGTTGTTACCTTTTAAACTAGAGTTTATGTATTTGGTACCCTAATATTTTGGGTGTAGGGTTTGGGGTTTGTTGGTATTAATTGTATGGCCTAAACTAGTGCATCCCTGATGTTGCCCACTACCTTTGATGTGTCTTGAGCGCTGAACTCTGGGAGAATCTGGATCCGCACTCATCACATTTGAAGGGTTTGTGCCCCGAGTGTGTCCTCTCATGCAGCGTCAGGGCAGTTTTGGAGCTCAGAGATTTGCCGCAGATGTGGCAGTAGTGTCTGTCCGTGCCGCCCTCGTGCACCTGCCGCCTGTGCCGGGTCACATCCTTCTTGCGCTTGAAGGTTTTGTTGCAGACCTCGCAGGGAAAGAGCCTCTCGTCGTTGTGCACGTGGCGCTGGTGGATTTTCAGGTTGCAGCGGTTGGCGAACGTCTGCTGGCAGATGTCACAGCGAAACGTGGTGTCCATCTGGACCCCGTGGTTGACCTTCAAGTGCTTCAGGTAGCTCTTCTCGTAATAGAAGGAACGGCTGCATTTCTCACATCTGTACTTTGCGGTTCCTCTCTTGATTTCCTTCTCGGCTTCATCGGCCTCGTCCATTTCCTCAGGCTGGAAGTCTGATTCTTGAGGGTCTTCCTCTGGGACATCAGGAGATGATTCAGACCCAGTGTCTTTTTCATCCAGTGCGTCCTGCGATGATTCTGCCTCGGGAACAGACACTCTGCGACCCGCTAACCTGCAGCTTCTCCTGTCTGGTTCCATCTCCTTCACATTTTCAGGCACTTTTAAAGACTTTTTTCTCTTCATCGCTCTTTTCACAGGTTCTTGTTTTGTCTTGACTTCAGTATTTGAACTCACGCCATCTTTCTGCAGAGTTTCATCTGAAACGCCGCTGGGAATTTCTGCCTCGCAAGCATCCACTAAGTCCTGGCACTTCAGGAGTTTAGCCATTTGCAGTACGGTGCTGATGTAACTCTTCTCCACCTCGATTTTTCCAAAATACGCATACTCTAAGAATTTCTCAAATGCATGTGGTAAGAAGTCACACAAGAATATCTTTTTCACTTGGTCATTAGCTAACAGATGGGACTCGAAGTAACCGCTGGATGCGGCGAGGACCACCTGATGGGCTTCAAACTCCTCCAGCTCTCCTTGAAAATCCACCTGCACCGTGATGTCGCACAGGTTTCCCATGGTCCTCAGCTTCCACATGGCATTGAGCAGATTTTTATGGTGAGAGCTGGATTGCAGTTGAACCAATCCATCACTCATTTTCTCTGGTTTCTGCAGCTGTTGGAAGGATGTAAAGAAAGCAAGTCATTTATTAGACACACACACACACACACACACATACATATACACACACTAATAAATGCATTTACTATGACAAATTTATATTGAAGTTGTACAAACTGGCTGTTAATATAATGATAAATAAAAACGCAGACTTTTAAACACCTTAGAAATCACTTTGATTTTGTTTTATAATTAATAAATTATTATAACCACTGAATTTCTGTACAAAGGGCTTTTTTATCTACATAAATATTAAGCCATTTATTGTAACGTTACATGCTAAACTTTAGCTTTGTATGTCACGGTAACGGCCCAAAATAAACCAATAGTCCAGTCCCATTCAAATACCTTTAATTTGCAGAGTTCTTTATACGAGTTCATTTAACTGCTTCGTTGCAGAAACCGACAAGAGAAAATAAACTAAATAAAAGGAGACGCTAAAGCAGTTAGCATCATTTGCTTTGTGTTCAGATGAGCGATATCTGTGTAAATGGAACTTAAGAGCGAACCACACGTGAATAGATCATATATTTAATGTCCATCTGTGACATGCAGTGAAAGCAGGGTTTGCATAGCAGGCTCTAGATTTCTTACCGTAAGGCCAGTAAAACGGCAGCCCTGTACAAATCAAATCCACAGGCACAACAAGACTATTTCCGGTAGAACACGCACCCAGCGAACATTAGAGCCGAAGGCATCATGGGAAATTGAGTTTTTCTTTTATAGATTATCCTGAGTCCCGACAGGTTAATGGTGTATTTTTAAATTACTTATTCTATCTGTTAACAGTAATAATATAATAAAAAAGTTGTGCAAATAATGTGCAAATACGTAAAGTATAAAGTTCTCTCTCTTTTTTATTTGTTTGTATTGCATGTGTGTGTATGTGTCGTGTGTATTTGACATTAAAGCTATGCTAGGAATAACATATACTGTCACTCATAATACTATGCAGTATGTAAGCTATGTGCCGCCTGTGAATATATAATTTTATATAATATAATTTGACAGAATTGTATATATTAAAAAGTCCTCGTGTGTATATACATATGTTTGTGTGTGTGTGTATATATATATGCATACATATTCACAGACTTTTAAACACCTCACTTTGATTGTTTTGTATTTAATACATCGGTATTTTTTTTTTTTTAAACAAATATTTAGTAGTATTTTGTTACAACATTACAGGTATGTTTTCACTACCATCCTATAGCTACAGCAGGTTCGAGTCATAGTAGTTAATATCCACTAGATGGCGCTGTTGCACACAAATTAACTGAAAGCAGGCAATGGAAAACTGGACCTGAGTTTGGTATGCATGTCCGGCCTTTACAGTTACATTTGATCCTGTGCATTAATTTGATATGGATAATTTGAAACCCTCCCGCTGGACACTGAAAACTAAACACAGACTTGGAAATACAAGGCAGTAATGCGGAATCCCTCCTCGGTAATTGCAAAAGACAAACATGCAGGACATGTCAAGTTTAACCTGACTGAAAGTGACAGGTATATTTCTGGAGCTTCCACTGCCAAGATGATTTCCCCTCAACGCCGCTCGCGTTTCACGCACACCGCGAGGGTTTATAAAACCCTTCGTTTTTGTTATTAATGGTGTGTTGAGAGAAAACTGGACCCTTTAATTATTCATTCGAGTCATGTTCTTTCATGCTAATAAGATGCAAGTTTAGACGTTTTCTCTGCCGCCGCCGCCACCGCCGCGTGCGTTTAGTCCTCCAGGATTCACCGGGGACTTTGCGTGGCCTGCCAAGCGCTCTTTATTGACATAGGAAATCCATATGCCTCGCATTTCCCTTAATGACTTCTGCAAGTGCGCGGCTCCTTCCGGTGACTCATGCTGCACTTGTGTGGACCGGAGACTGTGGTTTTCCATTTACCTCTGGAGCTCCGCCACGGCGTCTACGCTGCTGTAACCCTGCACGCTTTTAAAACCAGACAGCTACAGAAAGCCCTCCTCCCCCGGCTCAGAACAATGGAGCCGCATCTACCCCAGTGCATTATGGTACTGTTGGTCTGGAAGTCTTGTTGAGTGTCGGAGAAAGCAGGAAAGAGGGGAAAAGAATGCTAAGGTCACACTTTCACGCTGAACTCTATGCTAATAATCCCAGAATGCTTTTAAAAAGGAAGACAGCAGGAAGAAGTGGAGCAGTGAAACTCTCTTAGAGATTTGAAGTGGTAACTTGCATGACAAACACCATAATGGCATGGAGTGGTTTGTCTTTCTTTTTGAGGTGAAGTTTTAGCTGTTAATGTACAGAGGCTGTATGGGAAACCAGGGATAGTTGTCACACTGATTATATTTTAGTAACAATACAGTTTTTATCATCACATATTACGTTGAACCTATTGTATTTCCAAACATGTCAGTTTGGGGCAAGTTGTCACATGTTCATTGTGTTGAAATTTTGTACAATCCCAATTTTTTGTATGTTATATATATATATATATATAGAGAGAGAGAGAGAGAGAGAGCGTGTCAAACCAAAATTTATTCAGACACCTTCAACATTTCTCACATTATCATTTATCGTTTATTCGCTATAGTTTAGAAAATGGTAATAAAATATGACAAGAACTCAGAATTAAACTGTGTCAGAACAAATTCATCTTGATAATGTCAGATAACTTTGATAGAAAGGTATGTAATGAATTCGGTTGAATAGCTGTCAGCTGTTAAATTTAAAGGGGTCATATGATGCTGCTAAAAAGAACATTATTTTGTGTATTTGGT